CTGAAATGTTACCAAATTACAATAAGTCGGAAAGGATGCAGCATTTGCAAAATAAATTAAAATATGCTTTACACAGCGTATAAGGGTGATGTCACAGCACAACGAGAATCTAACAGGGGAAGAGGTGAAAGTAATCCTCCTCCTCCCACGACCACGCCGACAAGGACAGGACGCTTTACAGACGTGTTGTTGATGGAGGACATGCGGAGCTTTTTAAGTCCTACGCATCGCCACAGCCCTTCGGGATCCACCCTCAGAGAATGACTCGACCGACAGGTAGCAGACTACCTCGCCTTAACTGCAGATATCGACACTCTGAGGAGCGATGAACCCCTTCACTACTGGGTGTGCAGGCTTGACCTGTGGCCTGAGCTATCCCAATTTGCAATAGAACTTCTGGCCTGCCCCGCTTCAAGTGTCCTGTCAGAAAGGACTTTCAGTGCAGCAGGAGGTATTGTCACTGAGAAGAGAAGTCGCCTAGGTCAAAAAAGTCTATATTACCTCACCTTTATTAAGATGAATGAGGGATGGATCCCGACGGGACTGACAGTGGGTGATACATCCGACTAAAAAAGGCCTGATGAGATGAGCTGCCTTGGGCTAAAAATGGTCCACACGCTGCTGTATTTTAGCTCTGAATGCCGGTTGACTTGCGTGACTTATCCGCCACCAACTAGGGTTCAAGCTGCAATGTTTTAGGGCAGTGCTCCCCAACCTTTTTATCGCCGCGGACCGGTAAACGTTTGATCCACGTACCGGTCCGCAGCCCGGGGGTTGGGGAACACTGTTTTAGGGCACTTTCTGCCTGGGAAACAAACATCAATTCTTCTGGCTGCTGCTACAGCAGCGGCTGCAACAATACCTAATTTTTCAGGCATGTGTACATGCCTAATTTTTCGGGCCTCTGGTGCTGCACTGTGGTTTCAAAAACCAAACCAAAAAAAGGCACATAACAGGGATTAAACTGATAAGAATAATACTACTTAACATACCTTATAATAACGCAGAGAGAGGCAACACAGAGAGAGGAGTCTGAAGAAGAGGAGTCAGAGGAGGAAGGTGGCTTTGAGGAGGTGGAAGACCAAACACAGCAGGCGTCCCAGGGGCTTGTTGTCACCTTTCGGGGACCCTTGGTGTTGTACGTGGCTGGGTGGAGGAAGAGACCTTCAATGACATCAGTGAGGACAAGGAACGGGACATGGCTAGCTTGGTATCCAACCTTGTGCAAATGGGGAGTTTGCGGTTGTGCAAATGGACTGTTTGCGGTTATTTGCGGTGCGTTAAGCGGGGAGTTTGGTCTGTCACTGTGAAGTGGGCGTAACCCTTACACTACCTGATCGATACAACATCATACAGTAGGTCCCCCCCCTCATTATTTTTATGGCCCCCACCCACTGCTCACGGGTGGGGGCGGGCTGGAGGACAGTAGGTCCCCCCCCATTGAGATTTATGGCCCCCACCCACCGTGCAGGGGTGGGGGCCAGGGGGGAGGACAGTAGGTCCCCCCTTATCCTTATTTACTGAATATTCCCTGTATAACAATGTTTGGCATTTAGTGAATATTCCCTATTCTGCTCTGTGTCAGTGTGTATCAGGGGCTCTGAGGACAGGTGTCAATCCATATCTGTCAAGTGACCCTATGTAGGGGGAACAGTCTCTATTCTGCTCTGTGTCAGTGTGTATCAGGGGCTCTGAGGACAGGTGTCAATCCATATCTGCCAAGTGACCCTATGTAGGAGGAGCAGTCTCTATTCTGCTCTGTGTCAGTGTGTATCAGGGGCTCTGAGGACAGGTGTCAATCCATATCTGCCAAGTGACCCTATGTGGGAGGAACAGTCTCTATTCTGCTCTGTGTCAGTGTGTATCAGGGGCTCTGAGGACAGGTGTCAATCCATATCTGCCAAGTGACCCTATGTAGGGGGAACAGTCTCTATTCTGCTCTGTGTCAGTGTGTATCATGATCTCTGAGGACGGGTGTCAATCCATATCTGCTAAGTGACCCTATGTAGGAGGAACAGTCCCTATTCTGCTCTGTGTCAGTGTGTATCAGGGATCCTGAGGATAGGTGTCAATCCATACCTGCCAAGTGACCCTATGTAGGAGGAACAGTCTCTATTCTGCTCTGTGTCAGTGTGTATCAGGGGCTCTGAGGACGGGTGTCAATCCATATCTGCCAAGTGACCCTATGTAGGGGGAACAGTCTCTATTCTGCTCTCTGTCAGTGTGTATCATGGTCTCTGAGGACAGGTGTCAATCCATATCTGCCAACTGACCCTATGTAGGGGGAACAGTCCCTATTCTGCTCTGTGTCAGTGTGTATCAGGGTCTCTGAGGACAGGTGTCAATCCATATGTCAAGGTGTCAATATGTCTTATGTCACGTGTCAATCCATATCCATTGTGATTTAGGAATGTTAGGTGATTTATGCCCTTTATGGATTAAGACCAGACTCTGCATCAACTGTGTAATTTTCCATGGGAGTTTTGCCATGGATCCCCCTCCGGCATGCCACAGTCCAGGTGTTAGTCCCCTTGAAACAACGTTTCCATCACTATTGTGGCCAGAAAGAGTCCCTGTGTGTTTTAAAATTCGCCTGCCCATTGAAGTCTATGGCGGTTCGCCCGGTTCGCCGGTTCGCGAACATTTGCAGAAGTTCGCCGTTCGCGAACCGAAAATTTTGGGTTCGCGACATCACTAGTGACAGACAGACACATACTAACATACATACAGACACACATGCATGAGGACATAAAGACACATACATACATACATACAGACATACATACATACACACATCCATACACACATACATTCATAATGGCATACAGACATACACAGACATACATTCATAATGGCATACAGACATACATACATACATTCAGACTGACATACATGCATATATACAGACATACTGACAGACATACATACATACTGACATACATGCATACAGACATCCATACACACATACATTCATGATGATATGCAGACATACATTCATACTGACATACATATATACATATATAATGACATACAGACATACATATATACATGCAGACATACATGCATACAGACATACATAGACATACATACATACATACATACACAGACATACATGCATGCATACAGATATACATACAGACATACATGCATGCATGCATACATACATACATACATACATACATATATACATAGACAGACATGCATGTATACATACAGACATACAGACAGACATACATACAGACAGACATGCATACATATATAGACATACAGACATACATACATACATACAGACATAGTCATACATACATAGACATACATGCATGCATACAGACAGACAGGCATGCATGCATGCATACAGACAGACATACAGACAGACAGACATACATACATACATACATACATGCATACATACAGACATACATGCATGCATACAGACATACATACAGACAGACATACAAGCATACAGACATACATACATAGACATACAGACAGACATACATACATACATAGACATGCATGTATGCATACAGACAGACAGACAGGCATACATACATAGACATACATACAGACATACATACATATATAGACATACAGACAGACATACATACATACATAGACATACATGTATGCATACAGACAGACAGACAGGCATACATACATAGACATACATGCATGCATACATACAGACATACATGCATGCATACAGACATACATACATACATACATAAATAGACAGACATACATACATACATGTATGCATACATACAGACGTACATACAGACAGACAGACATGCATACATACAGACACACATACATATATACATATACATACATACAGACATACAGACATACATGCATGCATACAGACATACATACATAGACAGACATACATACATGCATGCATACAGACATACATACATACATACAGACAGACAGACATACATACAGACAGACATGCATACAGACATACATAGACATACAGACAGACATACATAGACATACATGCATGCATACAGACAGACATACATACATACGTAGACATACATGCATGCAGACAGACATACAGACATACATGCATATGATACAGACATACATATATATATACAGACATACATACATACATACAGACATACATACATACATACATACATAGAAATACACATACACACACACAGCTCATTTTTCAACCACCCTCCTGTTTCTTACCTTTTCTTTGCAGGAGGGTGGCTGGGGCTGATGGGACTGGGAGCCAGCACGGCTCTCCCTCACTGCCGGGCACATGCTCCTCCCAGCAGCCCTTGCTGCGGCTGCTTTTTTTTTTTTTTTAAAGGGGCCGGTCGCGCTATACCACAGCCACAGCGCTGACCGGGCCCCTGAAGATATAGGTCCCATCGGGTGGCCATAAGTGCATGGGCCACCTGATAGGCCCCATCAGCATGCGGGACCCGGTGCAAGTGCACCGGCGGCAGTTCCGTCGCTACACGTTATGGTTGTCACCCTCTGATGGCGACCCTGTGCCCAGAGGCGTAATATAGATTTCTTAAGGAGTGAGAATAAATCTCAATGCCGGTCACAGTGAGCGGCTGGTGTCATGGAGTGAAACCCTGAATTGGTGGGAGGCGCTAAACGCTTCCAACAGTGCAGGGGTTGTATACCCTGTATGTTCCCTGTGGGAATGGTACCAGTGAAAAGGATAAAACCGTGTATATAAATGTGGGGTTCCCAATAAGGGTTGGGGTACCTAAATAGCCCTGGTCCCTTTAGTGTTAATGGCTCACCCTGATAGTACTGCAGGTTATATCCCTGCATTCAGTATGTAACAGGCACAATAATAATAAAGCTCATAAGTAAATCCTTACTTTATGTGCAGGAGTCCTGACAAGTGAGGGAGAGTTGAAGGCTGTAGTTGGTGTATCCCCGGTTGTCCGGATAAATACCCACTCTATTTAAGGGAACAGAACAAACAAGGCCGCAATTAGTAGTCGCAGCTGCAATCCAAGATGGCCGCGGAGCACGAGGACCTGGCAGGAACAACTCCCGCGATCCGTGCGAGCGGCGGAGAAAATAACAAAAAACAAGAACAAAGCCCCCCAAGTCCACGGTACCCACACACCCAAACACCCCCCACTACCCGGAGTAGTAAACAAACACCCACCCGTGAGCGAAAAGGGCCGCGGGCGGACAGTAATTCAGAAAAGGTAGCTGGGCAGAAAGGAGGGAAAAAGGTAGGGCTAGAGGAGCAGGGACAGAGGAGAAATAAAATAGCAATAAGGAATAAACCGAAAAACTGACAATTTGTAAATAAGTGAGTGTAGTAATACTCTGACCTGTACTCTGGCTGAGCAGCAAAGAAAGAGGAAGTGGAAAATGCATCACATCGCTATTTATAGCAGTGACTCTTGTTTTCTGATTGGTTTAACAGTTTTGATTGACCTGTGCTGCTGAAGTTTTAGTAAAGAAAGATTATGCAAACATGAAACCTCCTGTCATGTGGTAAAATTAACTAACTGTGGGACATTTCCAGGATTTGTGGATATTTGGTAAAAAAAAAAATTTCAGTTCCATCAATCTTTACAATACTTCCTATGTTACCAAGAGCCACATAAATCTACATGTAAAAGATCCACCACTATGCTTAACAGTTGGCAAAGTGTTCTTTTCACTTTTCTCCAAGTACCTTTGTTGATTGAAGCCAAAGTGTTCAATATTTACTTAAAGAGACACTGTAGGCACCCAGACCACTTCAGCTCATTGAAGTGGTCTGGGTGCCAAATCCCATCACCCTAAACTCTCCAAGTGTAATTATTGCAGTTTTTATAAACTGCAATATTTACCTTGCAGGGTTAAGTCCTCCTCTAGTGGTTGTCTACCAGAGAACTACTAGAGGGACTTCCGACTTCTTAGACGACTTTTGGTCGTCTAAACGATGCTGGACATCCTCACGCTATTCATGAGGACCTCTAGCGTTGCCAGAAGCCCCGTAGGAAAGCATTGACTTGCTGCGCATGCGCATCAGGTCTACCCCGCCAGCGGACATCGGTGGGGGAGGAGCGTGGGCGGAGCCTGACCCAGCGTTGAGGGACATCGGCACTGGATTCAGGTAAGTGTCTGAAGGGGAGTGTAAGGAAACCTAGTATATCCAATCCTCATTCGGTAGTTTCCTCCCGAACCGCCAGAGCATCAGTGAGTATAGCTCTCCGTTCGGTAGATGGAATAGATGAAATCCATACGAATACAATAGCTTTACAAGATGATTCCCTTAATAAAGCATATGAATCCCCAAACATCGTCCGAAGTCAAGAAGAAGGGTAAAACAGAACTGGCTTTTAATGAACACACACTGGCTTTTATGCAAGTCCCCATGCTAAGGGGACATTCCACAGGGAGGGACAGAGTACCACCAATCAGTTACAGTAAAACCGTAAAACACACCCAGCACATACATACAATTCCCTCCCCTAGTCCTGGAGATAATCAAGTCTGATAAAGTAATAACTTGATTATCTCCAGGCAGAAAAATCACAATTTTCCCCAATCTTCAGAACACCCCTTTAGGCATGGGGTATCCCCACAAACAATATGTCCCCTGATAACCCCGATCTGGGTGACCAACATATTCAAATTTCACCCAGATCGGTTCAGAGGTTCTCAAAAAGTATGGAAGTCTTTTGTGACCGGCTAACCGCGAGGTGGCTGCCCAAACTAGTTCCAGGAGTTTGGGTGGTTTTGCCGGTCTATTCAGTTAAGTGTCAAAAAACAAATAATTCCACGAATGGATTCCCCTGGCTCTTAGCAGCGATTGTTCCCCTCATTCGAATGCACAAAAGTACCGAATAGCGCTCTTCTAGCTATTCGGGAAATAGAGATCCAGCGTTCGCTTGTTGAGACCGGTGTTCGGGAAGTCAAGTGTCCGATTTTAGTTCCAGACACTCGACGACCAAGTCCCGCTGCCTTTGTTTGCCTGAAAAAAGATGGCCATCGTTTTCACAGCCACGTGGCGTTTGGCAGTACGAACGCTGGCCGCACAGATAGAGGGTTCAATTGAAGCAGTCTTTGAAGTTTAACGAGCCAGGGGGTGGTCTTTGTTCGGTAATTATATCTACCAAATGAATAGGGAAGAAATATTACACATAAAAGAGGGATTTCTTCACAGGGAGCACTCCAGGATCCTCTGGTGCCAGGAAAATGGGTTTGTTTTCCTGGCACTGGAGAATCCCTTTAACTGGCCACAGTACAAGGTTCCAAAATGCACCATCTTATCTATGTGTTCTGTTGCAAAACTTAAAAGTTGAGTTTCATGATTAGATTACAGGTACGTTTTTCTTCTGCTGATTCTTACAAGGAAATTATGTTTATGCAATCATTAATGCACGGGTGCTCAATTATTGTGCTGCTATCTAGACCCAGAAAGGGCCTTTGGTTTGATTTTGAGGTTTAGTTTTGCTTCCAAGGCCAGCCTTGAAAGTACTTGAAAGTATTATAGATTATACTTGGTCTTCCATGTCTTCCAAAGTTCCTTATAACTTTTATTTCTTAAAGGACCACTATAGTGCCAGGAAAACATACTCGTTTTCCTGGCACTATAGTGCCCTGAGGGTGCCCCCACCCTCAGGGACCCCCTCCCGCCCGGCTCTGGAAGGGGGAAAAGGGTTTAAACTTAACTTTTTCCAGCGCTGGGCGGAGAGCTCTCCTCCTTCTCTCCTCCTCCGTTCCGCCCTGTCGGCTGAATAGGCACGCGCGGCAAGAGATGCGCGCGCATTCAGCCGGTCACATAGGAAAGCATTATCAATGCTTTCCTATGGCCGCTGGCGTGCTGCCACTGTGAAAATCACAGTGAGAAGCACGCAAGCGCCTCTAGTGGCTGTCAATGAGACAGCCACTAGAGGCTTTGGGGGAAGGCTTAACCCATTAATAAACATAGCAGTTTCTCTGAAACTGCTATGTTTATAAAAAAATGGGTTAACCCTAGAAGGACCTGGCACCCAGACCACTTCATTAAGCTGAAGTGGTCTGGGTGCCTAGAGTGGTCCTTTAATGACATTTGGACAGTGGATATTGCAAGCAGAAATTATTTAGATATATTTCCCCATCAATTATCTTTTTATTAATATAATATTATTATATTATTATTTTCTTTCATCGACTTAGTGGTTTCCATGATGGTGTAAGAACAGCACTTTGAGAGGGTTCAAAAGTCAGACAATTTATTAAAGGGACACCTTAGGCACCATAACTATTACTTCTCATTATGGTACAGTCCCTCCATTCGGTGTTCAACCATTTTCAAGCAGCTTAACAAAAATTAGGGTCCCTTGCTACCCACAGCCTGACACCAACTAAAGATATGGCGAAGGCAGAGATAACCTGCTTCCTTCTAGTCATACTACTTCATACCAGCAATGGGTGATGTAGTTGGCTGAAAGCAGTAGGCTGACACTCTCAGCCAATCATAGCAGCCCATTGCTGCTGAGGTTAATGCTTCTTCATCAGCCCAAGAAGCATGGAGGGGATGGACAGCTGGAGACACTTATTTAGCATTAAAACAATAAAAATGGCTAAACATTAAATGAAAGGACAGCAACACGAGATTCCTGACACAATAATCACTTTAAAAAAAAAAAAGCAATAACAGTTCCTACAGTGTCCATTTAAGTTCTACAATTGTAACTTCTAGCCAGATATCCACTTCTAGCCAAATACAATTGGGGTTCTGAGATCAAACAAAGAAATCACTAGTGGATGAACTGAAATGCTACCCAATGTTTGCACATGTCATATTTCCTTTTTATTTTTTTCCATCAGTTAATTTAAGTAGATAAATAACACATGTGCATACAAATTTGCAGAAATATGTTGAGTTAATGTTTGCTCAGCATGAACAGTAAACATATATCTATATATAAAATGCTTTCAGTAATTTGCAATGAAGTGTCTAATTCAACAATGTTTGAAATTCAGAGAATTGAGAAAATGTCTTAATTAAATGTGATGATATAAAAATATACAAGGATAAAAGGACATACAATTTCCACCTTGTTATCATCTTCCTATAGTGCAAAACCTTGGCCAGCAGTCAGAAATCAAAGTCACACTGTCCCAGAGAGAGCTGTAGTGGTAACATGCCTTAGCATGTCTGGAAAGCACTCATAAAGACAAGTGAAAATATGGTTTCAGTTAGGTGCAAAAAGCTCTGCATATATTTCCCCAGGTTGTTTTAAAAAATGTGGATGGTATTTCCTTCCTTTTATTTCCTTTTTGAATTATGGTCTTTAATTAGCATAAACTTATACATGGCAGACTCATCTACTTTAAGTCCATCAATTCCCAAACCTTACACTCTGTCAGTGTATATAAAGACAGACAGGCAGTTTAATTTCGGATTTGGTACACAGTTCTTGGCCTTACTTAGAAAGCTCTGTAACTGGCCCTCTGCTTATAGCTTCTTCCTCATTAGCAGATATGGTTCAGCCTGGCCTCTTCACTCCACCAACGACTTGTTACTGTCCTGTTCTCATACCCACACAACTGCAGGACTTCTCTATAGCTGCACTTCCTATGGAATACCCTCCTGCACCAATATCGACTCTCCTTCTCTCTTCAATCCTTTCAACAATACTAAAAACACATTTCTTTAGAGAAGCCTTTCAGCTCATCCCTTAAATCCTCATCCCTGACAACATTCCTGTGCTGTCTCTCATCCACATTGAACCTTCCTCCCAAACACCCCTCTCATGTTTTCAGGTATATGCAGATCACTTCATTCCCTCACTTCCCTTTGTGCATTTGACCCTCATCCTTTAGATTGTAAGCTCATTTGGGTAGTGCTCTCTTCACCTAATGTTCCCTTGTGTCAAATGTGTTCTGTTACACTTGTTTGTCGTGGCTTCCCTTTTTTACAGCGCTGTGGAATATGTTGGCACTAGATAAATAATTGTAATTGTAACTGCACGTGTTGTTATAATTCTGGGTAACCTGAATGAATTAGCATTTCTTCTAGATATTAATATATGTAATTGCAACTTTGCAATTGCCACAAGCACTTTTTGAAGGTTACACTATTTATACATGCACAACACAGTTTTCAAATTGTCATTTTATATTGGAAAAGGGCAAATATTTCATCCTTAAGTTATTATAAGGACACTGCAATGTTGTTCACTGCTGTATAGTATATATACACACTGCTATAACCACTTATATACTGACAGGTGATAAAGCAGTATAC